CAGGGTGACACAGCTAGTAAATGTCTGAGACCAGATTTGAACTCATGAGGATGAGTCTTCCTGACCCCAGGCCCAGCACTCTGTGCACTATGGCGCCCCCTAGCTACCCAAATTTGGAACTTGGGGTCTACCTATTTGAAGAGACCTGCCAGAATGTGTCCTGGACCTAGAAGCCTAAGACGTCACTAAGTCGTTAGGAGGAAGGACACGCAAGGACTCCATCTCCAGAGGGTGAGGTCATGGTCCACTCCTAGAGGTTTTATGTCAGTATGAAGGGGACATCAAAGTCACAGGATGATAGGATAGGATCTAAAGCTAGAAAAGACCTCAAGACTGTGTGGTCCAACCCTCTCATTTCACGGATGAGGAAACTGAGGCTCAAGAATGTGAATCAGCCTCTCTGCGGTCACACTCAATTCTCTGTAAAGGAATCCTTGCTACCTGCCTGGGTCATACAACGAGTGTTCACAAATACTTTGGGGCAAAGAATCACTGGATGAATAATCAAAGTGACCGGTCTGAATTCTTGAGACAAGAGTGCATCGGATGACCGCCCTTTACACCCCACTAGGAAATGGAAAGAACACGACAGGCTCAGAATTATCCGAGGCAGAGGGGAAGCCTTAGCATGGAATGGCGTTCCCAGAAAAGATGCTTAGGAGGAACCAATTTGTAGCATCTCTGAACACAAGCACATTAGGACGTTGAGCTGCCAGCTAAGCTGTTGGTAGTGAGGGTCTCAGCCGATGTGTGTCAATGATCACCCATGGTGGAAAGCAGTGTGTAGATGGAGAGCCAGATGGGACCCTAGCTAGCAAATTTATGAGGCAGCATTTGCCCTAGGCAAGTCACTTAACTTCTGTTTGCCTCAGTTTCCTCATCCAACAAGTGGGGATAATAATAGCACCTCCCTCCCAGGGAGTGGTGAGGATCAAATGAGATATGGATTGTAAAGTGCCTGGCACATAGTAGGAGCTATATAAATGCTTATTTCCTTCCTGTCCTTTCCCATTACATAAATTCACAGAGGTGGGAGAGTAAATGTTGAATGTGAGAAAAAGCTCTTTGTCCAGTTTGGTTGGAATGTAGAATATGTTGCTCTCAGATTTCTAATGTATGATATCGATCTATAAAGATAGGCTGGAGCCAGGCTGTGAAGGGATCTAAATGTTAAACAGAGGAATGGGTATTGGATACTAGAGGCAATGGGGAGCCACTGAAGAGTTTTGAGCAGGGGAGTTACCCAGGCAACCCTGTGCTTTAGGAACATCATTTCGGCCTTTGGATTGGAGAAGGAAGAAGAGATTGGGAGAACAGTGAAATAATTGAGGTCAAAGGTGATAAGGGTGGTTGAGCAAAGGTGGAGAAAAGGGAGAAGAGACAGACAGAAAGAATATTTTACAAAATTTTCCAATTAATAAGCATTTAATTAATCTCCTTCACCCACTCCCACTGGAAAAAGAAAGAAGAAAAACCCAACCTTTGTAATAAGTATGTATAAGTAAAGCAAGACAAATCTGATGGGGGGGGGTAGTGTCTTGGTAACCATTTGTGGGTGAGTGAGAATGTTTCAAACCATGAACAGTGGGAGCTATAGGACAGGACGAAGCCATTTGTCCTCATTTCTCCTCCAGGATTTAGCACAGTGCATTGCCAGGGTAGGAGCTCAGTGAATGCCCTGGAATGGATAAATGAATTATCTCTCCTGAAAGTCAAGGGTTGACCCTCCTCACTCTCTTCTGCTGTTGCTGTTCAGTTGTGTCTGACTCTTCATGACCCCATTTGGGATTTTATTGGCAAAGATACTGCAATGGTTTGCCATTGCCTTTACCAGTTCTTTTTATAGATGAGGAAACTGAGGCAAATGAGGTTAAGTGACTTGTCCAGGGTCACATAGCTAGTAAGTGTCTGAGGCTGGATTTGAACTCATGAAGAAGAGTCTTCCTAATTCCAAGTCTAGTGTTCTAACCCCTGTGCCACTTAGCCGTCCATTTCTTTTTTTATACTATATTTATTTTTTTAACATTCATTTAAAAAAATTTGAGGGGGCAGCTAGGTGGCACAGTGGATAGAGCACCAGCCCTGGATTCAGGAGGACCTGAGTTCAAATCTAGCCTCAGACACATAACACTTACTAGCTGTGTGACTCTGGGCAAGTCACTTGACCCCATTGCCTAACAAAAACAAAAAAAAATAAAAAAAATTTGAGTTCCAAATTCTTTCCCTCCCTCCCATCTGTCCCCCACCCATTGATAAGGCAAGCAATATGATATCAATTATACAGATGAAGTCATGCAAAACATATTTCCATATTATCCAAGTTCATTACCCTTCTTAACTTCTATTAGCCTATTCAGCCTTCCCACCTGGGAAGATACCTTTTCCCCTGCAGCCTTATCACCCTGCAAATGCTGCCAGTTCTTTGACCCCTTCCTCCAATTGGTAAGTTCCTCCTGGAACCTCCATTCTGAGGAAGTGTCCAAGCCAAGTCAAGTCAACAAGTATTTGTTCAGTAACTACTGTGTGCCTTGTACCCCAGACGCTGGGCTAGGTGCTGGTGATACCACTACATGGGCTCTCTTGCTCTCTTGACTCTCTGGACCTCGCCACTCCGCAAGGGAACAATCTTCCTATGGTGGGGCCCTCCCGCCATCTTCTCTTGAGATCTGATCAGCTCCTGTGGATTCAACTATCATCTCCATGCAGATGACTTCCAAGTCTCCACATGCAGCCCTCATCCCTCTCCTATCCTGCTTCTCCATCTGGATGCTCCCCAGGCATCTCCAACTCAGTGTGCCTAAAATAGAACTCACCATCTTTCCCCTTCACTCTGCTCCTCCTCCTCATTTCTCTTGTTCTGTCCAGGGCGTCGCTAGCCGTCAGCCCAGTTCACCATCCGGCTGTTATTCCTGATTCTGCACTCTCCCCTCCCCTCCCCCATAGCCAAGCAGAGGCCAGGTCTGGTCAAGCCCACCTCTTCAGTAACGTATGCCTTTGTCCCATTCTCTCTACTCACACCACTATTCCAGCCTAGGTTCTCACCGCCTCTTGTCTGGGATATTGCGGTCGACTCCTTACTGCTCTGCTTAATCCAGAGGGATCTTAATCTGGGAGCCATGAAATTGTTAAAAAAAAAATTATAACAATGTTCAATATATTTGGTTTCCTTTGTAACCCAATGTGTTTTATCTCATGCATTTAGAAACATTATTCTGAGAAGGTAACCATAAGCTTCATCAGACCGCCCTGGAAAAAGGTTAAGAAGCCCTTGTCTAATCCACCCTCCACATGGTAGCTGCCAAATCGATGTTCCTAATGTATAGGTATGCCCATCCTCCTCCCTCCCTCCAGAAGTTTCAATGACTCCCTTTTTCCTCTAGGACAAAATACAAATCCCTGTGCCCAGCTCTGGAAGTCCTTCACAATCCTATTACAGGCAGATTCTGCGTTACTTCTCTCTCCCAACTTCCCTAGCCCTCTTCATACTGGCACATGACACGCCATTTCCTACACAAGCTGCCCGCTAGACTTGGAATGCTCTTCTTTCACACCTCCACATCTATTTCTCTTAAAGGCTCAGTTAAAATGCCACCTCCTCCAAGAAGCCTTTTCTGATTTTCCCCATTGTCAGTACTTCTCCCTACCTGATCGCTTTGTATTATACATATGTGTATCTATATCTATAGCCTTCTTTGACTTATCTGTTAACATGAGACCTCCCTTCTGTAGAAGGGAAGCTCTCTGAGGGCAAGGACTAGATCCCTTTTGCCTTTGTCTTCCCAGAACCCGGCACACAGTAGATGCTTAATGATTACTTCTTGGTGGTTGCATTTCTAGAGATGGGGTTGCCAAGCTCCATTTTTGGGGGAGGAGAGCAACTGAAGGGGTTTGAGGCTCAGTGAGAGAAGCCCTTTCCTTCCCTGGAAGGTTTCTAGGCAGTCTCTCTAGCATCACTCCTTTCCTCTTTCAGAGCCTCCACCACTTACCAGCTGCAAGACCTTGGGTAAGTCAATTCCCCTTTCCAAGTCTCAGTCTCCTCACCTGTATGATGGGGATGGCAATAATACCTATATCACTTACCTCACAGGTTTGTTGGAAAAATAAAGTGAGATAATGGATATGAAAACATTTTGTAACTTCAAAGCACAATAAAATGTGATAAATTATTAACATATCTTTCCAGAATATTAATAGTAATTTTCCACAAAGTTTAAGATATAGCACTCAATAAATGAGTGAATATAAAAACCTTAAGGACATACATATGTGCCATAGAGACAGCCTGGCACAGTGGATAGAGAACTGGCATGGGATCCAGAAAGACCCAGTTCAAGCTCTGCCTCTGAATCAGGCTGGCTGTGTGACCCTGGACAAGTCATTTAACCTCACAGTGGAATCAAACACAAAAGGGATCCCTTGGGTAACACATAGATTTAGAAAATCCACAAATTAACGTTATCTATATTCTATTGTATTTTTTCATATTTTTATTAATTTATTTTGATTTATCAATAATCATTTCCATATGCTCTGAGTTTAAAATTTTTCTCCCCCTTCCTTTTTTTCATATTTTGTTAAACATTTCCCAATTACTTTTTAATCTGGTTTAGCCCATCTGGCATGTTTGACAACTATAAGATTATGAGCCTCAGAGAAGATGGCAACCTGCATTGAGAGAGGGAGTTTTCCCACCTGGGAATTCCCTATACCCAAGTAACCCCAGGTCTACTCCCTATCCCTGTGCCCACATGCTATAATGCACTGGGGACCCAAATACAAAAACAAGACAGTCCCTGCCCTCAAGGAGCTTGTGTTCTAACTGCCCATAGAATCAACACTTGGAAGAGATGGGAGTGATTCTTCCATCTCCTATTCCACTGAGGCTCAGAGAGGGGGAATGAAGGGATTTGCTCAAGGTTACCCAAGTTAACAAGAGGCAGGAAAGGTCCATGGAAGGTGAGGCGGCGCTGAAGGCCATAGGTGAAATGTGACAAGCGGCAGCCGAGTGAGAAAAGCAGACTTTATTGACACATTTCTATACACAAACTGACATGTGGGCATACCAGGGCACTCACTCATACACACACACACAATACCTTGGTTTTCAACACTAATATTTTTTTCTCATTTAAGATAAAATCGAACAGGGTGAGGGGTGGGGAATCACTAAATAATTATCCCACTCACCCCACAAAGGGAATTCCTGAGACAGTTACAGAGAAAGGTGGAAATAGTCCAGGACCCAGAACAAGATGGGTTCATTGTAACACACATTGGGTGGAAGGGCACTACCTCCAATTTGAGCAGCAGTATAGAAGCAGGTGGTAGTAGGTCATTAAGTGTCAGGGGAAGTCTAGCCCCATCCGTTGGTATGTGAGACTCTATCTCCAGGAGAATGGGAATAAGTTAGCTTGGCCAGACCTCCTTGTGCTTAATAAACCTAAGGAAAGATTTCTGACATCGAGATGGATCTCAGCATCCCTCAGAGGCCAGGCCTGGCCTGAGGAAGGCATCCTTTTCTTGCTCAGCCAAGTTCCTTGGGGTTAACACTGAACCTCGAGTCTCCTTACGCTGCATTCTATACTATGCCAAATTAAAAGGAGTCTTTTCCTACTGACCTCACCAAGAAGCCAGAACTGCCCAAGACCTTATCGAGTCTATTTTGTGACTCCGTGACCACCAAAGATAAATTGCCTTGTACCCTAAGTCAGTGGCTGTGAACTCATGGCCTGGAAGGGAATAGCATCAGCCTATCTTCACCTAGTTTAGTCCCCAAGGCTTTGTTTTATGCTTCCCTGCCTGACCTGCCCCGGTCATCCCCATTAATGCTTTGCCCAGGCCACATGTCCCTCAGAGGGAATCAATGCCTAGGATATGCCCGGGCCTCACGTCTTTGGTTCGTTGACAGACTTCTTCACTCTCTCATTTGTACCTTATTCTCTCCTTTGGAGATGGCTGGCTGCTGGATCCATGCTCTAAGGCATCAGCAGTGGCCCCTGTGGAATCGTAACAGGTGGCCTGGTCACTTGGGTGTCTTGGAGTCCGTCTGGATTTCTCCTTTTTCTAACCCAAACAATTCCACTCAGTGAGCCAGTAGTGCAATGCAGTGGCCACGGAGGAGCCTTGTCCATTTCTTGAAAACAAAAAGCCTTGAAAACGATGTCAGGAACATCAGATTGGAGAGTGTGGGGGAGGCTTGTCCACCTTCTCTTTCAGGATGTGCCTGCTGGGGACACTCACTGAGGAGACCAGAAAAGGGAATGAGAGAGAGAGAGAGAGAGAGAGAGAGAGAGAGAGAGAGAGAGAGAGAGAGAGAGAGAGAGAGGCAGATGTTATGGTCTTACTCTCCTAGCACAGAAGAAGCCCAAGATGGCATCTAGTCCATGGTATCTGGCCCTGCCTTTGCAGATGCAGATGAAGAAAATGGGGCCCAGAGAGGTTAAATGATTTAGGTCACGGAGCCAGAAAAGTGTCTTAATGTCTTCTGAGAGGTAAAATACTGATTTTTAAGTTTTTTTATGACTTCTCTCAACCCCCATTCAATTGAATAAATGTCTATTAAGGACATACTCACAAGGTGTGAGCTAAAATAAAATATCTGCAATACCTACAATAGAACGCAAGCTCCTCGAAGGCAGTCTTTGCATGCCCTGTGCTACCACAATGCTTAGCACATATGAAACATTTAATAAATGTCTGTTGAATGGAATTGAACCGAATTAGCCATCCTTAAAAAAACCCAAACTATGAATCAGCCTCCAAATCTTTCCCTGCTTCTGCAAAGTCTTGGCCTAAGTGACCTGAACTGTCCCCTATTCTTTGTCTGCTTCTTGGTCTATCATTTATGGCTTTCTCAGGCAATCTTCTTCAAAGTCTTACCCACTGATGTTTTACTCTCTGCCTCCAGCACCTCTTCCCTCCCTCTCCCTGGCCCAGCTTGCCAGCTTTTTTCTTTTCTTCATTTAAACAATTACCTAAATGCCATTCCTCCATGAAACCTAAATTCTAAGACAGGTAGTGAATTTCCCCTGTCTCCACCTTTTAAACAAGAGACTCATTGACCCATGAGCTGCAAGAGCTGGAAGGCCTCTTCTCCCACACCATCTACAACCAGTCCTTTGCTTCTGCAGAATGTTGATAAATACATTGATTTTAATCCTGGGTCAGTACCTGCCTGCTCTCTGCATGTCTTTGATAGCTCCGCCCTTCACTGTTGTCTATGTGAGGCTGTGAGCTCCAGAAGCAAAGATGATTTTCTAATTTAATTTGTATAATGGCTGGTATAACACAATAAACACAGAAAGGATTCAACTCATTCTGCTTGGTGGGCCTAGGAATGATGGAGAGATGTATGATGGGTACAGGTGGGTGACAGAATATTTCCAGGGATGACCCATGACTAGGAAGTGAGGTTAGGGACGCTATTGAGGAAATGTATCACGAGAAGAGAAGGTGGACCAGTCCTATCATGAGAGGGATGCAAGACAGAAGGATGGCCCAAGGGTTTGTGAAATGTCAGAAGACCTAGGCCAGGGGTTCTTAACCTTTTTTGTGCCATGGATTCCTGTGGCAGTCACACTAGTGAAACCTGTGGGCTCCTCTAAATAATATTTTTAAACATATAAAGTAAAATGTATATGGTTACAAAGGAAACCAATTACATTGAAATATAGTTATCATTTTTTAAAAAGCAAGTTCAAGGATGTCAGGTTAAGAAGAGAAAAACCTCCTCCATGTAGAGTATATGAGACAACATGGACAAGATGTGCCCAGGATGAGAAATCATGGATGGGTCACGCTATGTCCTGATGGAGGGAATCCCCACATTAATGAGCTCATGGCTCCCTTTAAATACTGAAATGTGGACAGAAGATGGAAGGATGGACAATGTAACCAGAAATGAATTCAAAAGAGCCACAAGAATAGTGCAAAGCCTAGAATGATCTGAGCCTTATGAAAATGTTAAACACAACAGCAAGGATCTTTTTTTTAAAAAGGTACTTTTAAATAAGGCAGAAGAGTCCAGTGCTGGGAGAAGACATTAACAGATGTCAGTGGATACTTTTGTCTTTTTCAGCAAGGAAGCATCATTAGAAGGCTTGTTAAGCATGCCTTCTATCTCTCCAGGTCCTTAATAAAAGCACTAAAAAAACTTAGACCAGAGAGTGAACGTCAGAGTTGAAAGGGCTGAACAAGCAAGAGATAGCTCAAGATGACATTTGTTTAAAGAAGCAAAGGAATGGAGACAGGTGAGAAGACAGGGAGAGATGGTAAAGCTACTAGAAAGGAGCTTCTTGTCTCCAGATCTCAGTGCTGGAGAATCACGGAAGTGAGATTGTCAGAGTCCCTCCAGACAATCTTGGAGAAACTGGAGCATGTGTGAGGTATCAGCTGGAGAGACACTGTCCCTGTTTCCCAAAAGGAGAAAAGGTAGAGAGGTGTTTGAGATAATACATGCCATCTGTTAATCACGATGTCAGTCTTCAACAAAATTCTGGAACGAGTCAATAAAAGGTACTTTCTCAGCGTTTAGAAAAGGAAGAAATGATTAGGAGGAGTCCATATAGCGTGCAAAAGTGATCTTATTTTAAGTAGCATTTTGTTGTTTACTGGAAATGGAATAAAATTTGGAGCCAAAAGACCTGAGGTTTGAATCCTGGCACAGGTACTCGCTACCAGGGTAACCCTGGGCAGGTCACTTTGCCTCTCCAGTTCTTAGCTTGCTCCCTCTATAAAATGAGGAGACTGGACTAGATCACCTGTAGGGTATCATTCATCCCTGAGTCTCCCGAGCCTGTGATTACTCAGGGGAATGTCATAGACACCATATATCCTGGTTTCAACAAAGCATTTGGCAAAGTCTCTCATGATGTCTTCACAGGTAAAATGGTGAAATGTGATCATTCCGGTAAATAGATTTGCAATTGATCGATTGACCTTGCTTTAAGGGTGTTGATAACACTTCTATAAACCTCTGTCTGTGGTCCTGGCTCGGCAGATATTTTTATGAATGACACAGTCAAGCTTTTCACATCGGTGGATGACACAAAACTAAAGGGATTATTAAGCATGTTATAAAACAGAATCAAGATCCAGATTCAATTCAAAGATTTAAGAGTCCTGAGATCTGGATTCATATTCCAAGTTGGCCACTCGTGTGATCTTGGGAAAATCACCTGACCTTGCTGAGACTGTTCCCTGAGTTTTAAAATGAGGGCTTGGATTACATGGCCTCAGAGGTCCTTTCCAGCTTTAGATGAACAAACGTTTGAGCAAAGAACAGGGATTAGAAAGAAGAATGCCACAAAGTCCCTGTCCTCAAGGAGTTTACAATACGGTAAAACGGAATACTCTAACTAGATCGATGAGGAACTGGAAGAGTACAACGATAAATTCAAGGAAGTTGAGCTCACGTGCGTCTGGAAGACTCCATGGGGGGTGGGGCACCCGAACTTTACATTGAAGGATGGGATGGAATTTAAGAGGTGGAAATTGAGACAACAAAGGAGGGTCCACATCCCAGGTCGGCTGGATTGTGTGGGGAAAGGCCCAGAGGTGGGAAAAGATGAAATGAGTTTGATTAAAGCATTGAATACATAAAGAGAAGGGGTAGGAAATGAGGCTGAAAAATGAGGCAAGAGTGGGACTAAGTCCTGAGTTTAGGTTCGAAAGCCTAATTGCATGGTGTGGGGAAAGTTGGTTTTTCAGCTGTTTATGCCAAAAAAAAAAAAAGATCTGGGGGGAGGTGTCTGTCGACAAGCAGTTTAGTACGAGCCACTGGTTTGGCAGGAACATGGGGTTGGTGGAGGAGACAATTGGGAGGGGTGCTCGGCCATGGCTAGCCATCCAGGCGCTGGTTGAGGGTCACACAGCCTCCCAGATGCTACTCTAGGTACTGGATGGAGAGGGAGGGAGTGGTTAAGGAAGGAGTCATTATGAAGTGAGATGTCAGGGCTGGGGGTGAGCTCATGAAGTTCTTGAGTGTCGTGCCAGGGATTGAGACGAAATGGTAATTGCCTTACAGAGTTCCTGGTAGCCTGTGCTCAGAGCAGCCAGGAAAGGTCAGTGGCAGTAGCTGCTCTGACAGCTGTCCTACGGCTCCTGCTGCTTTTAAAGCCAGGCTAGCTCAGATCTCCTCGCTCAGCCCTGTCCTGCCCTGCCTGGCCATTTCAAAGACCCTCAGAGGTCTCTAAATGGACAGAGCCCTCTTCTTGGGGCATTTCAGGGAGGGAGATGAGAGAGGCATCTGAATGCTTCAAAGGTCAAGATCCAGGTGCTACAGAGCTCTGATAATTAGACTGGGGAGTTAGATTAGAGTCATACTACGGAAGACTTGGAGCACCGTTCCAAAAAGTATGGGCTTTACTTGGAAGACAGGAGGGATCCACTGAAGGTTTTTGAGCAGGTGAGTAGTACGACCAGAGCTGTCCAACAGAAACCTTAATCTTGTGGCATGTTGAGGATGGATTAGGACAAGGAGAGACTGGAGGCTATTTGGGGGCTGTAGTTCAGGCCAGAGGCAATGTGGTATAAACTGGGGGGGGGGTGCTGCAGGAGTGGGAAAGAAGGGACAGGGTCCAGAAGCTGCACTATCTTGCAAGGGATTCTAGGAGATGCTCTGATCACCCTGCTTAGTGAGATGTCCTTGTAAAAGGGGCAAACACCAGCAAAGGCAAATGTACATTCTGATGGTGAGTCATTTTGGTTTTGCACAGAGGGAAGAAGCCCTCACATTGTACAGCTCTAAAGTTTTGGGCTCCCTCCAATGGCCTGTCCTCTTAGCTTCCAGGCCTCATTTGTGCCCTGGCCTTTCGACAGATGCCTGCTTTCTCGTTTCCTCTCCAGCATCAGCTGATGACTCATGCCTCTGACAGGTCCAGTCCCTCCCTTCCCGTCTTGCTGTCTTCCTCACTTACCTGCATCGAGGTCCTGCTGACCGGTCCTTCCTCTGGCCAGTGCTTCCCATGATGCGGGAGCTCAGAACTCTCCCGGTAGTCCCGGGCTTTGGAATGCTGCAGGTGTAACACAGCCGGACTCTTGGCAGGCAGAGGAGGCCTATGTGTCTGTCCTGGATTCCCCTGCTGACTCATTTCAGACCTAGCAGGCTTGACTGGCCTCTTGGCTGGGACTGGGGTTTCTGAGGGGGGGGGAGGTTTGGGCTTTCCCTGGGTCTTTTCCCCTCCCGATGTGGTCTTCCCCTCTGCAGAGGAGGAACAGGTAAAGGAACGCATCCTGGGCACGGGGAGGAAAGGGGCAGAGATCTGCCGGCTGGCCAACTTGCTGCTCTCGCCTTCTGGGGGTTTTGTGAGGATGATGGCTGGAGATGGAGCTCCGGGGTCCGGGCAGGCTGGGCGATCCTTCCTCAAGGCCTTGGGGGACTCTTGCTCTTTCCTGGGCACCGGCTTAGGGAAGGAACTCACAGATCCATACAGTGGATTCTCAAACATCTCCGGCTTTGAAGTCTGTTGTTCCTCTGCTGGCAAGGGATCCGCCATGTTCTTCCCCAAGTCACTGGGCCTGTAGCCATTGGGAAGAAAAGAAAAAGATGAATGGAAGAGGATCAAGTTAGAAAGTCACAAACACAGAAAGGAGAATATACAGAGTTGAAAGAAATCAGGAGAATAATGCAATTCAATTTACCTCCAATAGAAACTTTCTAACCCTAAGAATGATCTCAAAGCATAGTGGGCTGCCTAGGGAGGGAGGGAGCTGTCCACCACTGGGGATCCTCAAGCTAAGGCTGGGTGAATACTTGTCAGGTATACTGAGGGATTCGTGCTGAGTTAGGCTAGATAGACTCTGCGGTCCTGCCCAATTTTATCAGGCGCCTTCTAAACGTCAGGCCCTCGTAAGACTTTGAACAAGAAACGGCATTTCTTCACTTTGTAACCAAGGACAGTCGAATACTGCTTTCCTCCTCTTGCCCTTCCTCCCAGCCGTTTCTGACTCACCACAAACCCTGATTCAGACATTCTTTGGAGGAGTGGCTTCTTACCACGCAAACCATGTGACAGAAAATAGGAAACACATTTTAATGCCTGACCTGGATGGGATCTTAACGGATGCCTTTGGAAAGTATTCTGCAACCCGCTCTCCCAGAGCATGGGAGGCCAAAGAACCAGAACAAGAAAGCGGGAATCGAACAGAATTTACCTAATTGCGCCTGGCATGGGGGAAGATCATTCCAAGAAACCCTGCCCCTGCCAGTTTCTAGTTGTATGTCCCCTTTTCTGAGGCTGTTTTCTTATTTGCAAAAGGGGAGAAATGCAGCTGCCCTGCTTACCCTACAAAGTTTGCTAGGAAGGACAAATGAAATAACGGATAAGTTGAATAATAACAGATAATTATTAAATAATGGATAATTATAAAAATAATCATGGATTGAAACAAATTCAATTTAATTCAGTAAGTGTTTATCAGATAAATTTAATTCAGTAAGCATTTATCAAACATAAATTGGGGACAGCTTTAAATACAGTGCTGGGCCTTGAGTCAGGGAGACCCAAGTTCAAATCTAGCCTTAGATACTTACTAACTGTGTGACACTGGGCAAGTCACTTAGTCTTAGTCTGATTCAGTTTCCTCAATTGTAAAATGAAGCTAATAATAGTACCTATCTCCCCAGGTTGTTGTAAGGATCAAATGAAATCATATTTATTAAATCATTTAGCATAGTAACTGGCATATAATCGGTGCTTAATAAATGCTTATTCCCTTCTCCTTCCCCCAAGCACCTGCTATGTATAAGGCAATTCGAAGGTCTGTCTAGCCAGCCCTTGTCCCTCTCCTGAGCTCATGTCATGCCCATCCAATGGGATATTGGACGTCTCCAACTGGATGGCCCAGAGGCATCGCAAGCTCATTGTGTCCTAAACAGAACCCATTCTTCCCCAACACTTTCTCCTCCACCTTTCCTGTTTCTGTTGATGGCACCACCATCTTTCCTCTCACTCACATCCTCCACCTCAGAGCCATCCTTGCCTCTCCCTCACCATCATAGCCTGCCTGGTGCCAAGTCTTGTAGATTCTGCCCCCTATGATTGCTTGCCTCTGCCTCCTTCTCTTCACTCACACAGCCATCACTCAACTTCAGGTTCTCCTCCTTTCCCTGGGCTATTTTGTAACAGCTTCCTGACTGGTCTCTCTGCTTCCATTCTGTTCCCTCTAATCCATCCTCCACATACTTGTCAAATTGATATGCTGACCATAAGCAACTGATTAGTTGAAGGCAGAGAGACATCACAGAGGATAAAGCTCTAGGCCTGAAGTCAGGATGACCCAAGTTCAAATCCAGCCTTAAATACTTCTTGGTTGTGTGACCCTTAACCTCTATTTGTCTTGGAGGCAGCTAGGTGGGCTCCTAGCATCAGAAGTTACTCTGAGAGAGCACCAAATCTCTTGAAAGGCTGACCACAAGCTCTCCGTGAACTGAATGTGAAGTCACTGCCAAATCAGCTCATTGCCAGATCATTCCTAAATCTTGGGTGCCATTCATAGAAATGTAGCGTCCACCAAGAGGTAGACTGGATCTGTCTGCATCTAGATGAATGGATTCACTAAATATCCTACCTGCCTTTACATTTGCTGCCCCTCCCCACCCCCACCTCTGGCTGAAAGAATTCTTGACTTCCTTAACAAGAGCTAACTAGTATTCATATAATGCTTCAAGATTGGCAAAGCACTTTACATATGTTATCTCACGGGGAGGCAGGTGCTGCTGTTCTCACTATTTTGCTGTTGCCGTTCACGGCTGGACTCTTCATGACCGCATTTGGGGTTTTCTTGGCAGAGACACTGGAGTGGTTTGCCATTTCCTTCTCCAGCTCGTTTTAAAGATGAGGAAACTGAGGCAAACAGGGTGAAGTGACTTACCCAGGGGCACCCAGCTAGTACATGTCTGAGGCCAGATTTGAACTCACGAAGATGAATCTTCCTGACTCCAGGCCTGACCCTCTATCCACTGTGTCGCCTAGCTGCCCTAACCATTTTACAGATGAGGAAACTGAGGCAGAGGTGAAGTGATTTGCCCACTATCTCACAGCTAGTACTGATAGTACTTGCAATCCTTTAACAGCATAAAAACCACTAAGCTTAGCATCTAGTTACCAAGAATATTTAACTTAATTAGGAAGGACCACCAAGGTAATTAGGATTTACCACTGAAGTAATCCTTCAAGATTACTTCAAGACTCAGTTCAAATGCCACCTTCAGCAGAAGGCTTTCCCTGGTCCCCCAGATGCTGGTGTCATCTCCCCATTACAGTGTAAGCTCTTTTCTTTGTAGCTCCAGGGCTTAGCACTGTGCCTGGCCCGAATTTGTTGACTGACGAGTGTAGTGATGAGGTCTGTCACTCCGGCTGTCTCATGTGGACCCAGTGGCGCAGTGGATAGAGCGCTGGGCTTGGAACCAGGAAGACTCATCTCCCTGAGTTCAAATCCAGCCTCAGATACGTAATAATAGCTGTGTGGTCCTGGGCAAGTCACATAACCTCCATTTGCCTGTTTCCTCAACTGTAAAATAGGGATAATAACAGCACCTAGGGCAACCAGGTGGCACCTGAGTGCATAGAGTGCCAGGCCCGGAGTCAGGAAGACTCTTCTCCATGAGTTCAAATCTGGCTTTAGACACTTACTAGCTGTGTGACCCTGAGCAAGTCATTTACCCCTGTTTTGCCTCAGTTTCCTCATCTGGAAAATGAGCTGGAGGAGGAAATAGCAAACTCCTCCAGTATCTTTGCCAAGAAAACCCCAAATGGGGTCACGGAGAGTCGGACACAACTGAAATGACTCAACAGCAATGACAAAACCAGCGAGAGGAATGCCTCTCCCCACACACTCCTCCTCTCGTCTGCCGGGACTCAGTCAGAGGATCCGAGTTCGAATCTCCCTTCTGCTATTTATTCTGGACAGCTGTGTGGCCTTGGGCAAGTTAATCCACCTGAGTCTCAGTGGGGATAATCTCCCCGGCCCCTCTCAGCTCTCTGATTCTGAGCCAGTGACATTTTAGGAGGAACATGAAGAGCCAGAACATGTCTAGAAGAGGGAGCCTGGGATGGCAAAGGGTCCAGACTGGGGCTCTCAGGAGAAGCAGGAGAAGAGAGCGGGGCTGTTAAGACTGAACGTGAGAAGAGCCGCCTTCAGGCTTGGGCAGGGCTGGCGGGTGGAAGAGGGAATAGACCCACTGTGTGGGACTCCAGAGGACAGAGCGTGGACCAGTGGGAGGTGGAGAGGGGTCCAGGAGGGAGAGCTGGCCACGATGGCGCGCTGATCTCCATCTGGAAGGGATCTCACAGAACGTCCTGCCCATCCTCTCATTTTATAATTGGCAGCGAGGTGGGCTGGGAGACAGAGAGCGCCACTTGGAGCCAGGAAGAACTGAGTTTGAATTCTGCCCCAGACACTTACTAGCTGTGTGACTCTGGCTGCCTCAGTTACCTCATTTCTAAAATGAGGATAACAGCACCTACTTCACAGGGGTATTGTTAGGATAAAATGAGATATTTGTAAAGCATTTTGCAAACCTTGAAGTGCCACATATTTGTTAGCAATTTCTAGTTGAGGAATATGAGGTCCCAGCGGGGTAAGTGAGTTATCTGAGATCACACAGCTAGTGAGAATCCCAGGGGGGCTTTGGAATCCAGGTCCTCTGACTCTCGGGCCAGTGCTCTAAACACTTTCTTGTTAGGTAATGAACTCCCCATGCCTGGAGGTATTCAAGCAGAGTCTAGACGACTGGTGGTCAGGGTGTTATAGAAAGGATTCTAGTAGTAGGTAGAAGGTTGGACTAGGTGATGTCAAAGGCCCATGACAACTCTGAGCTCCATGATTCTAGGAAATCCCCTGACTTTGTATCGGGGTCCAAAAATCTGGTCATGAAAAACGATACTCACAGTTGCTCCTGGGTCCTGAGATTAGGAGCTCGGTTTGCTGAGCAGGGAGGGAACTTTTTTGGAGACAATGGGGGCTGTGAGGGTGGGGTCGGGGGAGACTCTCCCCAGTTGGGAACTGGGGGGCTGTCTTTGGGAGGCTGATCATAGCTCCAGAAGGTGGACTGCAGCTCGGATGAGATGGCGGGCTTCCCGTGGAAGGGCATCTGCAGGTTGAAATGTCCCATCCCTAGATAGTTGGGGTTGGTGATCTCGGTGAAGTTGGAGCCATTGAAATGAGCTCTAGAAGGGAAGGCAGACAGGCGGACACACACACACACACACACACACACACACCCCTCAGCATTCTGTACAGATGCCCGTGGGTTGCCGGGATCCCAGCCTCCCCCAAGAATTTCTCAGACTTCCTTCCTCTCTGTCCCTTTATCCCCTTCAAGCCCCAGCCCACACCAGTGGGCAGAACTCACAAATACTCACACTAGGCAGAGGTGAGCTCTGACTCAGCCTCTCTCTCTTTTAGGGAAAGGTGGGAGGACTGTCCCACTGGGATGATCATTAATTTCCAATTATTCTGGAGCCCATGATTCACCTAATGGATATTCTCCAGCCAAGCCTTTCCCCAGTCTGGGCTTCCTCTGCTTTACCAACCTGCTTCTGGACCTCATTCCATTGCTCTCTGCTGAGGCATGCTCAGGAGGAATAAAAGCAGATTTTCATATGAGTCTAAGAAAAACATAATTTGTCTGCCCTCTAAAATCACAGGCTCATAGGATCAGAGACTTAGAGCTGAGAGGAAACCCAGAAGTCAGTTAGTCCAACACCATCATTTTACAGTCGAGGAAAATGATGCCCACAGTGGTCAAGTGACTTGCCCAGGGTCACAGGTAGCAGAATTAGGATTTGAGCCCAGATCCAATCCAATACGCAAACAATAGAGAGTGAGCCAGCCAGCAGCCTGAAGTGAGAGAGACTTGACCTTGAAGTCATGCCCCATTCTGGACTGCAAAGATAATCATAGAGTTTCTGACCAAGAGAAAAGGGACTTCCTTGCCCCTGGACACTTCGCCATGGACTTCCAGTTAACCTGAATGCAGGGTTTTTCATTGGCATAGTAGGATTCCCGAGTGGTTTCCAATAAGCCTTCCCAAGCAGAGACTGAGGTCATTGGCCAGTGGTTCTAGTCAAGAGGCTGGCTGAATCAAAGCTCTGAAGATTAAGGGGTGTGAGTGTGTGTGTGCGTGCGTGTGTGTGTGTGTGTGTGTGTGGTTGGTGGGATCCCAGGAGCTCATGGTAAAAGTATTTCACCAAAAAAAAAAAAAGTATTTTGCCCTCATCAAAGTAGATTAACCCTAGAAGTCTTTTGGAACTATTTTTTCTGACTTGCACTAGTTCTCCTGCACCTTCCCAAAACTTCTGTTAGGGTCATGGTGGCAGTGGGCTTTGGGAGCCCAAGGGATCAGTCAGTCAGTCAGTCAGTCAACAGGTATTGATCTTATAAGCATTCAGTGTGTGCCAGAGACTTTGGCAGTGCCAATGTTACAGAGAGGTCAGGAAGCATGAGGAGGGAGAAAAGGACACTAGATCTGGTAGTAAGAGCTCACTGGTAATTTTAGCAGAAGGACTTTCAGAAGCCAGACAATAGAGGGTTTAGAAGAGAGTGAGAGGGAAAAGGACCCAGTTATTGGGGGTCTTTTCAAGCACTCTGGCCATGAAGGGGAGGAAAGATATAGGACAACAACTAGGGAGGACAGCTGGATCATTCACTTTTTAAAAGATGGGGACATAAGTGTGTTTGTGAGCAGCAGGAAAAACCAGCCAGTAGCTAGGAAAAGACTAAAGAGTGGTAGAGAGAGAGGCTGAGGTTGTTGAACCTGTTGGGGTCAGGGGGCTGGGTAGACCTGTTGTCTACACTGTCAGGAGTGTGGGTGGGGGCCAGCGTCAGGTGGCCTGAGGAGGCTAGAACTGGGTCAGCCCAGGAATGGATAGCTCAAAGCTCCCATGATGACCAGTCACAGGACTGGGCCTGCACAACCCCGTCCTTCCAGCCTGGGTGAGACAGGGAGACCCAGGCTTTAAAAAATAATTACGATAAATAATTTTTAAAAATAACAACAAGAGAGAGGGAAGAATGAGAGATAATGACAGGCGCCAATCTGCTAAAGAACATGGGATGGGAGCATGGGTTCATGCAGAAGGTCTTGTCTTCGCCAAGAGAAGGGCTAACCTCTTCATGAGGGGCAGCGAGGTGGCTCAGTGGCTAGAGCCCTGGGCCTGGAGTCAGGAAGACCTGAGTTCAACTCTGGCCTCAGACACTTACTGGCTGTATCATCCTGGGCAAGTCACTTCATCCCTGTTCGTCTTAATCCACTGGAAAAGGAAATGGCAAATCACTCCAGTATCTTTGCCAAGAAAACCCCACAGACAGCGTGGCCCATGGGTTTATGACGAGTCAATGACTGACTACCAACCTCTTTGTGAAAGGCAAGGAAGGAGACAGTGGGGGAAGGCATGTGAGTAATGGGAGAGGAGGAGAAGAGGAAGAGAAGGAGCCCCTGGTGAGTGCTCCTCAGCTGAGGGGGGAGCAAAGCAGGGCCCTGAGAGCATTGAGGAGGGATGAAAAGGTCTGGAGAAGCTGCCGAGGGGCGCGGGACAGTGAATCCATCGGGGAGGTGTCGGCCACGGGGAGGATTTTCCTCCAGAGCTCTTCCTTCTAGGCCTGGTGGAGCTTCTGCCAGGCTCCAAATCTCCAAGCCTTCCCCCACCCAGTTTCCCAGGCTGTTCTAAATGATGTGGTCACATCCACTACCTACCTGGAGGGACACTCCCAGTGTTTGACGGGGTCATGGCTCGTGAGACTCTTCAGGGACTTCTGCCCAATGGCCTCATCTCGCTCCGTCTTCACAAAGTCTGGAAGAAAAGGGTTAAAAAAGGAAATGAGATTTTCAGTGGCAGACCCCTCAGCTTTCCTGCCACCCCTGGCATTGGCCATTAGCAGGGGTCCTCAGGGTCTGAGCCTCCAACAGAGCTTTTCCAATGCTGTTGTCTTGGCAAATTGCCCCATGCAATGAGGGCAAGGGGAAGCTTTTTCTCTAAAAGAACAACTTTTTTGCTAGGAGGACCCATTAAGAGCTGGGTTAGCAGCTCTGAGAAGCCAGAGGCCATAGGAGAACCCACCTAGCCCGTTGCCCTGCTAAAGGGATTCATCCACCAAGACGGAGGAAGTGTCCAGTGGGAGAAGTGCGCTCACTGTCTTTTCTAGAAAGATTCTGGGATATTCCTCTAGCTAAAGAAGCCACTTTGAAGTCCACAGTATAAGCCCTGCTTTAGGAAGCTTTTGAGCAGACTCTGAGCAGATGAAAATGAAAGGCAGGATGGAGGGGGGAAGTCGCCCAATTTCCAAGATCATAAACCAAAGGCATCTTTAGTTAACTAGTCTCTGGGCCCCTTGGCACCTGTCAGAGCATTGCCAAGTTCTGCCAGAGCACAAGAGGCACACTTGACTGCCTGGTGCTAAAGATTCATGACAAATGCCCATTTGAATCTCCTTCAAAGCTTCCAAACTTGATGGAAATGAAGAAAAATGAGATAATTCAACCAATAGTAAGCATTTGGCTGATTTGTTCCCTCCAGCATCCCCCCAAAGCATGGGATCACAGGAACATAGAGCTCAGGTTGGGGGCAAATGGCTGAGTGAGCAATTACTATCTAGCCCCACTCTCGAAATTTATCTTTATTTTTTTTAAAGTGGTTTTAATGCCTTTTGCTTTTACAACACAGTAATTACTGGAAACACCCTCTATTGCTCTCTCTGCTCTCCTGGTACAGTCTGTGCTCCTTGGCTCTGGTCTAGCATGGGACAGTGCAAAGCATGCTGCATGTGCAGCCGGAGGCCTGGGGTTCAAATTCCAATTTCACCATTTACTGCTTTGGCCAAGCCACAACCTCCCCGGGGCTTGTTTCAGGGTCTGTAAAGTGATGGGGTTATAAAATAATGAGGGGGTCAGAGGTGGCTGTTGAGGTCACTTCCAGCTCTAAATCTGTGACTGTATTTTATTCTTCTCCCCTCCCCACCCTTCTTCTATTCTATTCTATTCTATTCTATTCTATTCTATTCTATTCTATTCTATTCTATTCTATTCTATTCTATTCTATTCTATTCTATTCTATTCCATTCCATTCTTCTCTATAAAGGAGGCAGTGTCTTGGCAGAAAAATGTTTCAACTTTGCTAAGGTAAACTACACTGATGTTGGCTCACAGTAGCAAGCCTCCTGATGAGGAAGACATCCCCCTCCCACATCCTCCCCCTGCCTTACCATAGAGCCTTTCTCTCTTCTTCCCTTGGGAGGTCTGCAGCTTAATTTCCCCTCGGAAGTGACCCATCATCTCTCCATGGTGGGTGAGGGCAGTGTAGATGGGAACCACGGATTCAGTGGCTTCGGATCTCAAAGCAATGCAGCCTTCACCTGCAGGAGGAGATAGATGTTAGATGGATGTTAAGAATTCAGCCATTTCCATGGAAGGCAAGAAAACCTCTGGTCCCATGTGATGCTGAAGAGGAAGGTGGAATGAGGTGGCGGGGGGAGGGCAGTCAGGGTCAGGGCTTTGCCCTTTGAGCTTTCTATAGGCCTTCAGCGAGGCTTAGCTGTTCTTGTGAGTGAAAGCTGACCTCTGTCCTCTCTGCTATACAGCCATCTCCATGAAAGTCCATCTCTGGCCCTTCCCTCCAGGAGCTGAAAGAGGGAATGGCTGAGGTCTGACTGGATGGGCCTCCAAATTCGGCTGTAAAATAGCATTAAATGAGAAAATGGCATCTCCAAAGGTCCCAGTTTCTAAGGGTCTTAGAGAGGAAACCAAACAAATAAGCTAAAAATGAACAAGACGAGAACGTGGGAGAAGAGCTCATGGGGGTGCCATATACATTTCTTGATAGAAACAAGCTCTTGAAATGAAATTTGACAGCAGAAAAGACTGTGGGGGCAAATGGGGAATGCCAGAATTTTGGAGTTGGGAGAGATCTCAGCAGCTGTCTCATCCAGTCCCAAATAATTCCCATTATAAACTACCACAGGGTCCTCCAAGCCTCTGCTTGAAGATTCCTGGTGACTGGGAGCCTGCCCATTCTCCTCTGGGCCAGCTCAGCATTGAGAAGCCTAAATCTGACTTTTGGTAACTTCTTCTCACTGCTCCTAGGTCAGTCACTAACTGTCTTATCCTAAAACGTGCCTAGGAATCAAAGCCAAGCTCACTGGCGTCTGGTTTTCAGAGTCTAATCCTATCCCTCTTTTGGAAATCTGGCTGTGCCTCCTTCTCTGGTCCTCGGCTGTCTCTCGGGCACCATGCTCTCTCCAGTACCGTGGGCAGGGGCTCCACTGGCATGCCTCAGTGCTCATTCAGTAGGGGAAGGATGGGGTTCACCTGAGTCAGGTCACTTGGAACCATGAAGTTAGGCCATCCCTCAATGGGTGCCCAGCTCAGAGAGAGAAAGCAGAGTTGGGTGAGGGAGGAGTGGGTTGGAGACACCAATAGTGGTTGATTATCCAGTACTTAGTGGTTCACAAGAATTGTTACCTATGTTTTCTCATTTGGGCCTCACAACAACTCTCTGAAGGAGGAACTACGGGTATTATTAGCCATTTTTCAGATTGGGAAGTGAGGGTCAGAGAGGCTAAGGCGCGCACCTGGGTCCCACCATGAGCCAGTGGCAAAGCTGGCGCTCCAGCCCAGTGTTTGTGACTAAGTCCAGCAGCATCCCTGGGTCCATTACCATGGTTACTGGGCTATTTATGGCTTCCAGAGCTGCTGCAGCACTTGATTTACCAACCTTTTTCCTCACCGCAATTAGGGCAAGCATTATTATCCTCCTTTTACAGATAAGGAAACTGAGGCTAAAAAAGGTGAAGACATAGCAAGGAAGGCTTAGAGCTGAGGCTCCAATCCAGGGTTCTTTTCAATGCCTGGTACTGACATGTTTTATATGGAGTAGATGAAAGGAGAGAGAATCTCAGAGAGAGAGAATTGGGACTTAAATATTTAAGTGACTATAATGCTACATTCTCTTTCCTGCATTAGACTGTAAGCTCCCTGAGGGCAGGCACTGGTTTTGCTTTTCTTTGTATCCCCAGCGCTTAGTACAGTGCCTGGCACATAGTAGGTGCCTCATAATGTTTGTTGATTAAATGGAATGGGGAGAGGAAGCTACTGAACCGGACAGTGGCAGAACCAACCAAATGGGCTGGGGACAGGGTAGAGAGAGCTATAGAATCAACAACAAACAGCCCCCATATCTGAAGTGCCTTAGGACCTTTACAAGACCTCCCAAGAGGCCTATGATAGATAGGTCAATGATAGAGTAGGCTTGTGCCTATCAGGGACAAACAGCATTCCTGACTCGGGTTGATCAGCTTCCCTTTGAGGTGTCTGACCACTACTATTCCTCCACCCCCTACGCCCACCTCCCAACCGGAATCTCCCTCAATCACTTAGTTCTGGTCCTTGAACTTTGGCAAGTAGGGAAGCAAGAAATGAGCTGGTGGAAAGTGGAGTAGTAGACGTAACACTGAAGGCTTGGGTAGAAATCTTGGCTTCAGGAACCCTCTGGCTGTCGTCGCCTACCCAAGCTCCCCACTGAAGTTCTTCCAGACCTTCTCTTCTCAAACCTGGCCCATCATCTCCTCTACCCACCCTCTTAGCTAGGACTTTACCTCCTACTTTATTGAGAAAATAAATATCTTATGCTAGGAGGTCCCTCCCTCCTCTCTCCTCTATTTTTCAAAGCCCCCAGATCCCCTACTTTCTTCTCCTTCACTCCTGCCTTTCACGAAGAGCTGATCTTTCTCCTCACCAATGGCAATCCCTTGACATATATCCTTGACCCCCTCCTTCTCACCTTCTTGAACAGATTGCCTCCAGATCATCCCTACTCTATCATTGAATTTTGCTCTTTCCCTATCTACTGGTTCCTTTTCTTCCACCTACAAATACACACAAGTCTCCTCCATCCTTAAATAACCCTTATGTAATCCTGCCATCCCCTCAAACTATCATCCTATATCTTTCCTCCCTTTCTCAGCTAAACTCCTACAACAAGCTGTTTATGATCATTGCCTTTATTATCCTTCTCTCTTCTCAACCCTTTGCAATATGGCTTCTGATATAATTATTCAATTGCTCTCTCCAAAATTTAATTTTGAAAAATTAATAGATATTTATTTTCTCTCCCTCTCATCTGACTCCTCATTGGAAAAAAGAGAAGCAGAGAAGAAAAAAGAAAAAAGAAATACAAAACCTTCGCAATAATTGTTCATGGTCAAACAAAACCAACACCTATAACCAACGATCTCTTAGTTGCCGCATCTGGTGGCCTTTTCTGGCTTCATCCTCCTCAGTGTTTCTGCAGCATCTGATAATGTTGATCACCTTCTTCCAGACATTTTCTCTTCTTTCCCCCTTTGGGAAGCTACAATCTCTTGGTCTGCTTCTGCCTGATGGCTCCTTCTCAGTTTCTTGCTCATTCATTATCCATATCCCACACCCAAACTATGGATGTCAAGGGTCTGTCTTTCTTCTCTTGCTTGGTGACCTAATTGCGCTCCTATGAGTTTGATTTATCATCTCTCTGTTGGTTAGATCTATATCTATAGCTCCATCCATAGACTCTTTCCTGAGCTCATCTATAGCTCTCTTCTGTCCCATATCACCTACTGGGCAAATAAGATGTATCATAGACATCTCCAACCCAATATGTCCAAAATGGAATTCATCCTCTTTCCTCCCATACCTTCCCCTTCCCTAAACTTCCTTATTTCTCTTGAGGGTAACATCATCCTCCAAGTCTCTCAGGTTCATAACCATGGTGTATATCACACACACACACACACACACATACACCCATATCCAATCAGTGGTCAAATGCTACTGTTTCTATCTTTATTACAGCTCAGATATCTTCCCCATCTGTCTATTCACACAGTAATCCCCCTAATTCAAGCCTCCATCACCTCTGGTTTGCCTTCTTTTGATCTCCCTGCCTTACATCTCCCCCACCCCAATCCTTCTTCCACAGAACTGCTGAAGTGGTTTTCCTAAAGAATAAGTCTGACCAAGTCACTCCCATACTCCATAAACTTCAGTGGCTCCCTACTGCCTTCAGATTCAGAAGTAAATGACTCTTGCTGTTGTTCTGTTCTCCAAGAAGACCAATGACATCACAAGGGTGATGCCTTGACTTGCATGCACTGTTTGGTTTTTAAAAGCCTTCATGAGCTAGCCCTGATCTATTTTTTCAGCTCTGTTCTGTCTCATTCACCTTTCTACACTCTGCGCTCCAGTTAGACTAGCCTCTCTTTGCTCCTTGCACGTGACATCTCATATCCTACCTCCAAAGCTTTGCCCTGGCTGCCTCCCATGCCTGAAATGCACTCCTTCATTGCTTCAGCCTCCAATGTTTCCTTCAGACATCACCTCAGGCACCATTTCAACATGAAGACTTTTCTGATTCCTCCAGGAGCTTATTTCTACCTATGACTCATTTACCTCAAATTTGCATATATGTTATGTGGTTTGCATATCTTTGCATATGCTTATATGTATACATATTGTCTCCCTCTATAGTCAAGTCAAAAAGCATTTATTAAGCACCTACTATATGCTGGGCACTAGGAAGACAAAGAGAGGCAAAAGACAGTCTCTGATCCCAAGGAGCTCCCAGTCTGTTTGGGAAGGCAACGTGCAAACAGCTACAAACTGAAGAGATATATGCAGGATGAATTGGAGGTAATCTCAGAAGGAAGGCGATAGAATTAAGAGGGATCAGGAATGAGGGATTTGAGCTGGGACTGCTATCAAAACCATCCACTTCTTCTGTTTAGATAAGGAAGTCAGAAGGTGGATGTGGGAGGCATAGGACACCAAGAAAATGCCAGGAGTTGGGAGGTGGAGAATCTTTGCCAGGAACAAGGAAGCCAGCATTGTCAGATCATAGACTATGTCTTTAACAAAAGAATAGAAGCTTCTTGAGGGCGGGGACTGTCTCATTTTTATCTTTGTATCTTAGGTGCCCAGCACAGTGCCTGGCACAGAAGGGCACTGAGTGAATTATGAACTGGCTGACTGGCTCTGGGCAGGTCTTTTGATCACTCTGGCTTCCTGGGCCCCATCTATGGAAGGAGGATATTAACCCTTGCAGCCCTTCCCTCCCCTGGAATGAGATGTGAGGATTCAATCCAACCCGATGAGCATTTATTAGCCAGAGGATCAAAAGAGAGGATACTTTGCAAACCTCAAAGTGCCAGATACATGTCAGCTACTATTCTTGTCTAGACAGAAGAAGGGGAGGGTTTTGACAGCAGTGTTTGACCTGACTGGAGGCTAAAAAGTAGAAAGGGAAGACGGGGAGGGGTAATCACGCAGCATCTGAGGCATGGGATGGCAGAGAGGGAGTGGAGGCTTGCTGCGGAGCCTTGGAATGGGAAGGCACAAGAGCATCCTCTAGGTGATGGTCAGCATGGGATCACAGGGCTGTAGCCCAGGGGACAGTGCCTGGACATGGGGACCCACTGTCGTCCCTCCTGCTGCTGCCTCTGCTCCTCAGCGGAGCAAGTTCAGCCTGACCCAAGGTCAAGTTTGGGATTTAGGCAACAGATCAGATGACCTGATGAGGCCCCGGGGGAGGAGGGAGGGCTGTCACACCATCTCAAGAATAATAGCTGACGTAGACCTCCTTATGCTTTCAAAAAGCACTTTACTGGGGCAGCTAGGTGCTGCTGCAGTGGATAGAGCACCGGCCCTGGAGTCAGGAGGACCTGAGTTCAAATCTGACCTTAGACACTTACTAGCTGTGACCCCGGGCAAGTCACTTCCCTCTGACTGCCTTAAAAACAAAAAGCACTTTACAGAAGTGATGCCATTTGAGCCACACAACGATCTGGGGAGTAGGTTCATGGAATCAAGGACCTCAAGCTGGAAGGGACCCTAGAGACTACTGAGTCTAATCCCTTCATTTTTTAAAATTTTTTACTTTTTTCAGCTAAAGACAAGATTTATTAGAATATTGTCATATTAGGCAGACTCTTTAGGAGTCTGAACATGGGTAAGCAGTGGTTAGATTTTAGGAATCTGAGCCATGGCTAGATTATAAGAATCTCAGCAGTGGCTAGATTTTAAGAATCTCAGCATCTTAATGGAGACAAGATGGACCTTATATACAGAAAGCCTATGGGAGGGATCTAGGAGTGGCCAAGTAGTCTATGAGGTAATAGAATTCCAGGGACCTGGACCATGTGGCCAAGGGAAAATGGAGAAGTGGCCTGAGGCCATAGGGAGGTCCACAATGAAAGGCCGGTTGATGGGATTATAGCCTCAGGCGAACACCAGAGATTTGGCCACGTGGTAAAGTCCAAAGTTTTTCCTTTCTGGGGCCCAGATCCCAACCCCATCATTCCCCCCTCAAACAAATGGGACCCAAATTCTTTTGGAGTAAGGGGCGAAGGTCTCGGCTTCTGAAACTGCTTCCTGCTGGCAAGGGGTGTAGAGCTGTCCCTGCCTTGAGGGGGTCCCAAAGAGGAGGTTGACTGGAACCGAGTGCAGGCTGCATCCAGGGAACAATGTGGGGACATTGGCTGGTACTTGTTGTTTGCTATCAACTGTATAACCCCTTCATTTTACAGATAAGGAAACTGAGGCACAAAGCAGTTCAGTGACATATTTAAGGTCATAAAGCTACTAGGTGCCTGAGGTAGGATTTGAACCTAGGTCTTCCTGACTCAGTTCAGGGCTTTCACTGCTCCAACACTGCTCTTCAAAGTGATTAAAAGTAAACTGTTCCCCAGACAGGGATTTCCTTCTGTGATCTCGTCAGCGTCCAAAAAGACCCAATCAAACAAAAACCAAACCAAACCAGACCCTTGTCATAGATTCAGAGACAGAGAGGACGTCATAGGCCATCCATCTTGTCCAGTCTCCTCATTTGACAGACCTGAGGCCTAGAGATGTCAAGTGATTTGCCCAAGGTCACACGGGTAGTAAGTTACAGAGGCAGAATTTCAAAAGCCCCAAGTTCAAATCTTGGCTTTGCTATTTACTGCCTTTGTCACCTTGATCCAGTGACTTTTTGGGCCTCAGTTTCCTATTCTGTCATGTGAAAGCATTGGACAAGATGATTTCTAAGGGGCTTTCAACCTTGGGTCTTAGAATCTTTTGAGTTTAGATGAACGGGTGGAAGATGGGAGTCAATGAGAAAGGGTTGACATTGGCTGGCCTCAGACCGAGGTGTGGGGGGAAGAGGGCGCTATCTGGAATGGGAGGACCACCAGGGCATGGGTAGGGCTGTGGGGAAGCAGGGAAGGCAGCCACCACCCCTCCCTCAGTCCCCCATCCAGCCCCCCACGTGGCTCCTCCACCTCCAGATCCCCTTCCCCAAGTACTCACCGTAGGATTCATCGCTGTCCGATGATTTAATGCTGATGAGGATGTGTTGATCCAACAGGTACTCGGGGTCAGAGATGATAGGGGTCAACTGCAAACAAAGACAAGGCTTGGGATGAGTGCCGTGAGGGAGGAGGCAGAGGGGCGAGGCTCTCCTGCACAGAACCTGGAATCCACAGCTTTAGAGTTCCTGGTGAGCCCCAGGACCAAGAGGCTGGAAGTGGGATGGAAATGACAGTGGGGGATGGTAGAAAGAACGCTGGATGTGGGAGACTCTTGTTCAGGTGAGGAAGGGCCAGACTAGGTGGCTTCAGAGGTCCCCTCCATTCTAATGACATAGGTGTCCTGGAAAATGTTTAACAACCATCTCTCCAGATAAAAAAAGTATACAGAGACACATTTTAAAGCTTAATCTGAATTATTAACCCTTTCTCAAGGATAGGTAATCGATAGAATAGTAAACCAAGGCCTGATTCATAGTGTTTGCCAATTTCTGAAATGTAAATGTTCAAACTGAAAATTTAACAATTGACTCTCCAGCAGTTTTGAGTTGGCTCCAACAACCCCCTGGTGTGGGGACAAGGAGGTGGTGATCTTTCCTTCATTATCAATGACATCTGTATCTCTCAGGCCAAAATTCCAGATTTTTGAGGGATTCTTTAGGGTAAGCCTTCTGGCACAATACCTCTCCTTGGACGTAGCCGGCATTCAATAACTGTTTGTTGGAATGAGTCGAATTGAATTTGCATGGGGGCTTATTCATTATCATAGAGTATTAGATTTAGACATGAAGGGCCCCCTGGTGTCCCTATCGCCCTCTTCCCGTTGGGCCCTCTGGATTCCTGGTTCTATTGTTAACGAACTGTCCTTTACATCAGGCCCGTGATCTTCCTCTCAGACACTACCTGGCATTTGTTTGGTATTTACATGTACATATATACATATATGCATATGTGTATGTGTGTTGTTTCCCCCAAAAGAATGTATGTTCCTTGCGAGGAGGCCCTATTTCCTTTTATCTTTGCATCCTGGGCTCTTGGCACTGTGCCTGGCCCCTAGTAGGCACTTAATAAACGCACGTTAAGCATGTCTTCACATATATAATTGTCAGCACACTGCTTGCCTTCTCAGTGAGTGAGGGAAGGGCTAGAGGGAAGGAGAGAATTTGGAACCCAAAATTTGAAAAAATAAAGATTCTAAATAAATATATGATTGAAAAAATTAAATGCCTGTTGAGTCAAATTAAATGGGAAACTGAGGCCCAGACAGGTGAGCTGATTTCTTATGAGTGATGGGGACTCCCCTGCTCCCCATTCTCCCCCATAGCTGGCTGTGCAGGACCTTGGGGTCAGACTTGCTTATTTTACACCTGCTCCCCTAAGACTGCGGCCAGTCAGTCTAGTTCTGGTGTATCTGGAAGCTTCCCACAGGTTTTCCACTTCCGGAAATCTGCCACATCTTGGCTACTTTCCTCCATAATGGTCTGATACCTCATGGCAGAGTGGAGGAGATCCTGTGTTCTCAAGGTGAAGTCAGCAGACCTCAAGCCTTGGCCAGCCCTGCCACACAGGAAAAGGAGTCTAGCATGGGCCTGGTGGGTCAATGGATGTCTGAGAACTAATCAAGCCACGTGTGAAGAGAGTCACTTGACAAAGAACTGACCACCAAAGAGATGAACTTGTTTTTTCCAATACAATTCACAAAGGTCATTTACCAAAGTGTGAGGGCAGGGTTTGAGAGCAGCGTGGGTGGAAGGAGTGACTGCGTTATCAAGATGGCGGCCTTCTGATGTGTGTACTTTGACCGTCTCCAGGGCTGAGCCCCCATCATCCCTATAAAAAGCTCTGCTTAGTGGTCTGGGGCTTTGTTGGTGAGAAGAACACCAACTTTCTCATAATAATTTCTAATGAAGGGGCCAGCCACATCCCTACTCTGCTCCCCAGAGGATGTCATGGTGGGCATGCTAGTGACCAGAAGAGGGGGAGGATGGTTGCATACTCAGAAAGCAGGTGCGTCACTAGCCTGAGTGTGTCAGAAGGATAGCAGGACAGGAAAGGGGCTGGGAGTGGCCTTGTCGCCTGCCACCAAGAGGCTGATGAACAGCTGTGTACATAGCAAAAATCTGGGGGTTTCTGAGAGTTTGCCTGGAATCAATCAATTATCAAATACCTATTTTTTATAAAATGCCTACTATGTGCCAGGCACTTGGCTAGGCCTTAGGGATCCAAAGGCTAAAGGCCTCAAGAGTGTAACTAAAAGCTTTTTCCTTGGGGGAGAAACAGGCATGTGTGAATAGGGGTGGGTGGAGACTAAGAGGAGGAAGGGGCAGATGAAAGCCCAGAGGGGCAAACCTGCTGTAAAAAAGGTTGGGGAGGGGAAGGAAGATGACCTGGAAGAAGGTTATCATGGTACAAGACTCTGGAGCTGTAGAGGTTGGTGGTCTCTTGGAAGAGAAAGACCCCCCAAACCAGGACCATGACCAACGTCCCCATTTGCACTGAGCCAGAAGGGCAGCTAGGTGGTGCAGTGGATAGAGTGCCAGGTCGGGAGTCAGGAAGACTCATCTTCATGAGTTTAAATCTGGCCTCAGACATTTACTACCTGTGCAATCCTGGGCAAGTCACTTAGCCCTGTTTGCCTCAGTTTCCTCATCTATAAAATGAGCTGGAGCAGGAAATGGCAAACCACTCCAGGATCTCTACCAAGAAAACCCCAAATGGGGCTGCAAAGAGTCAGATATAACTGAAAACGACAGAACAAGTCACAGTTTTGATGAAAGACACATTGTTTTGCACCCTTCCGATGCATCATAATCATCTGTGTTTGAGTCTAATTCCCTTACCAGAGCAGGAACTGCACGAGGGCAGGAGCTGCATCTTTCCTAACTTCCTGAATGGCTAAGCGCTCTCTGCATGTGGCAGGCTTTCACATGCCACATTGACTGCCTAAGCGGGTAAAGTAGGGAAGGTCTTCCAACAGAAACTGATGATACTCTTCCCACTTGACCCCTTTAGAGTAGAAACTCCTTGAGGGCAGGAGCTGTTTCATTGATTCTCTTGTATCTCGAGCACTACCACTGTGCTCAGCACAGAAAAAGTGCTGAATAAATCCTTGCTGATTAACTGATGGTCAGGGAAGCTGTGGAGGGAATTCTTGGTCAGGTAAGGGTTCCACTGGGTAGCCTCTGAGGGCCCTTCCGAATCTGAGAGATTCGGTGATGAAGAAGCATTGGCTGAATTCAAGTTTGAATTTGATTTTCCAAGAATCCACACCCAATCTAGAAACAAGGTTCTGTAAGTCAGTCCATATCATTTGAAACATGGTCTGGTGCTTGAAATTCAGATTTGCCTGTCTTTTCCCCACATCTGTTTTAAATTAATTCACACACAGGTCAACCTGGGTGAGCCTCTTTCCTTTTGGAGGTGAGACGACCTTAGTTGAAAGGGCCTGTCATTCTTCTCTGTGATTGATGGCTCAAAAGTTCTCTCTGAAGCCCTGTAGGCTTATTCCTCAGGCTTGGGACAGCTCAGTTCCACAGCCGTTTCTCCTTTTGAATGCAGTCTCATCTGCACATTGCCAGGAAGGTCCGAAGCAGCCCCATCTCCCTCCTGGTAAAATAATCTAAAATTGACTGATATTTAGAGTCTGCTAACAGCCCTCCAGGCCAGATTGGGGTCCTCAAGACATGAGCAATTGCTTTGCAATGAGCCCTGATTTTGTTCTAGAATAGTTACGTCTAAATGCTTTCCATTCATGTTTCCTCCAAAACCGTTAATTTTACCCTTAAAAACATCAAATTTTCTCTTACTTGCAACTCACCAACATGACTCAAGCAGACTTCTCTAGTCTCTCTCATCACATTGTGAACCAACAAAGCAGTGGAAAGAGCCTTGGGCAAGGAGGCCAGAGGGCTGTGTTCAAGTGTCCCCTCTTTTGTGACTTACAAGTCCTCTCCTCTCACTGGGTCTCGGTATTCTCATCTATAAAATGAGTCATTGGATGAGATATGGCTGAAATTCCCTTCCACGTCATAGGTTTTGAGGTCAAAGGGGCCTCAGAGGTCAAGTGGCCCAACTCCCTCATTTTACAAAAGAGGAAACTGAGGCTGAGAGGAGAGAGGCGACTTGAGTAAGGACACACAGGCAATCAGTGGCAGAGAAGAGATTCAAGGCCTCCCCAGTGCTCTTTGTTGCTGTTCAGCTATTTCTGTTGTGTCTAACTCCTCATGATCCCATTTGGGGCTTTCTTGGCAAAGATCCTGGAGTGTTTGGCCATTTCTTTCTCCAGTTCATTTTACAGATGAGGAAACTGAGGCAAACAGGGTGAAGTGACTTGTCCAGGGTCACATAGCTAGTAAGTACCTGAGGCTGGATTTGAACTCAGGAAGATGTTTTCCTGATTCCAAGCCCAAGCTGCTGCCTAGCAGCTTGTGTTTATCAAATACTTCATTAATTCATCACTTTCAATTGCACAAGGCTGTGATGAGGGTGGCTGAATGGACAGCACAGGACTCCAGGCTTGGCATTTTTAAAAGGTATGGATGTGTAAGGAATGTTCATGTTAAAAAGGCAGAGACAATGCCCAGAATACACTAGTTTGTGAGGTGCACAGTGCTTCCAGGATCTGGGGCCAGGGTAACTTCAGAAATTCAGCAAACATTTACCTAAGCGCCAGCTCTGTACAACATTCTCTCTCTTCCCCCCCCCCCCCCCCGTCTCTGTCTCTTCACTCCCCCTCCCTCTCTTCTATTTCCTGCCCCTTCTCTCTTTTTCCTCTTTTCTCTCTCTCTCTCTCTCCCTCTCTCTCTCCTCTCTCTCCTGCTCTGTCTTCCTCTCCCTGCCTGCCTCTTTGTCTGTCTCTGGGGGTGGGTGTGTAGGTGGGTAGATTTAAGAGATGAGTAGAATGCAGTCCCTTCCCTCATGGAGTTTATAGTAGAGGGAAAACAGACATATAGACCTAAGTACATTCCTTCAAGGCCCAACTCAAATGAAACCTCCCCTTTGAGACTTTTCCTCATTCTCCAAGCTGGAGGTAACCTCTCCCTCATCTGCTTTCTTAGACCCTTGCATGAGTAACAGGGTACACAACAGCACCAGTTGTACATGCAACATAATCCAATTTGTATCCTAATTACCTGTGCCTCTGGCCAGACTCAGAGCTTCTTGAGGACAGGGTTGATGCCCTACTTATCTCTGGGTCTCCCCCCAGGGCTTAGTGCAATGAACTAGGCATAGCAGACCCTTTGTCTGTCAAATTGATGATGAATGAAGAAGCAACTTGCTAATGACAATTAGAGCTGTCCAAGGTAGACGGGGCTGTCTGGGTAGGTAGGGAATTCCTTGTTCCTTGGAGGTGCCCAAGCAGAGGATGGACAACTATTTGGACACACTGAAAAAGGGATTACTTGGTGGTGTGGGTCAGACTAGATGACCCTTGTAGGCTCGTCTAACTTGGGGATTCTATAATTTCTTTGATCTGTTATGATATTTTATTTCATGGTTAGAGGCAGCTAGGTGCAACAGTGGCTAGAGCACTTGGCTTGGAGTCAGGAAGAAGTGAGCTCAAATTCAGCTTTAGACATATACTAGTTGTGTGACCCTGGGCAAGTCACTTAACCTCTATTTGCCTCATCTGTAAAATTGGGATAATAATAGCACCTACCTCTCAGGGTTGTTGTGAGGATCAAATGAGATATTT